ACCTTTGGATATATGAATACATTCCTGGCATGATCTCAAGCAGGCAAAAATAAAAATCCACTGGAGCCCTTTATCCAGAGGACCAAAGCGCAGCATGAAACAAAAATCATATTTGGCATCCACACGAAATGCAATACCATTTGCTACAGCAGCAGCATATTTAACAAATCAATTAGATTGCAAAAATTGCAGCAGCCATTCCAACCTTTGGGTGTTAGTTTCCCGCATGTTAGGGGTGAAAAAAGGAGCCTGTTGCCTAACCTAAATTCGGTCCATAAGCCACATAACAAAATCCGTTTGAGCCGTGATTCATTTAAGAGAGATCCTGGTACACGAAAGCAAGAGAATCCCATTTCACAGCAAACAAGTTATAAACTCGATCTGGCCGGTTTGCATCCGAAAGCCCAGCAGATTATTAGTATAATCTGAAATTCTTTTTTAGTTTGCTGTGATAAATGCCCACAGAATTGTATCTGCGCTTGAAACCTTTTTAGTTTGCAGTGCTTGGTAAATCAATCAGGGCTGACAGATGCTTTAAGGAGAGTAATCTTTTCAATGTGACTGTCACTGGCTAATAGAACATTGTTTCTCAGCTTGGCTCAGGCTGGGAGACAGTCAATTATGGACGGGCGCTGCTAGACTGCAAGGCCCAGAAGCAACCTGCACTCGCTAATGGAAATAGCTCAGCTTCATAATCATTTTATTCCTGTGTATGGTGCATGATTAAAGCTTGATGTCGGAAAGGTTTGCGCACAGTTCTGAAAATGTTAGACATTTTTTATCTCCTTCTTTTTTATTGGAGATTTTTTTAATGTGTTTTAAATGTTTTCATATTGCAGATTGGCAGGCACTGGGGATCACTTGCCGAGTGGAAAATATGTATAGTTGCCCTTGAAAAGCTGATTTGTCTCTTTTTGTGATATAAATGTGTGTTTTGCTAAGTTTTAAAGCACCAAATAAAATTCTTACCTGCAAAGTATGGGTGATGTCACGCCACCATTTCATGATTCAACCAAATCACATGACTGATAAATTCTTACTTCCGTGCACTTGATAACATTCCCAATAAACACACAGACTGCAAAACCACATTTAACCACATAACAATTAATAGTTACAATTAGGAATGCCTAAATAAAAACATGCCAAATAAATAACCTTATGGTCCTTTGTTAAAAGAAGGGGTATTTGGTGCCTACTAGTCAAA